AAGGTCCTATGGTTAAACTACAAAAACTTAATGAGATTTTCTAATTGATTTGTAAAAAAAAAAAAAAATAATAATTACATTTTGGAAAATAATGATTAAAATGTGTTACTTTTTTATTTGAAGATTACACATGATTTGATATATATATATAGACATTAAATTATTATTAGTTGTTGTAGTATTCATTATTCAAAGAGTAAATTTGCTTCTAATAAGTTGGTTCATGTTTTTTTCATGAACACTTATTAGTGGATTGGTCTTGTTTTAGCCCTTGACCAGTTTCCACACATGATTAGGTGATTGTAGGATCGTCTCACCTGACTGTGGCTCTCCTCCACCTCTTCCTCCCGTCTCTCGTACGCACGGCGTCTGCGGGGCTGGTAATAATGAGCGTAAGAAGCTCCACGGTTGGTGTACACATGGATGTTGCCTACATGAGGAAAAGGATTGCTTGTTCTTTAAATGTGTGAGAAATTTTTAGTTTATATTAATGATGGACACATTGCAAAAGAATAGCAATTGGCAAAATTGAGAAAGAAATTAAGTAAATCGTTCTATTGAACCAATTACAAACAAAACTACATTTCGGAAATGCACAAATGTAAATTTTTTTATATGTATTATTTTTTATATTTTACAATTATTAAGCATTTTTAATACTTCACATCCAGTTTTATAAATGAAAACCCACTTTTTAGTTAGCTATAAAGCTTCATAGAGGTTCAGACCTGTAGGAAATCTGCCCCCAAAGAAGATGTTGAAGAGCTCCTCCGGGGAGATGTCAGCCTCGAAGTCTCTGCCGAAGGAACGGTGTCCGTACGCACGACGGGCTTGGGCTGAAGTATGACTGGACGTCTCTGCAGGGCCCTGGTCCCCACATTCATCATATTGCTGCCTTTTCTCTGGGTTACTGAGCACTGCATATGCATTGCCTATTGCTGAATAGAGAACAGGATTAGAAGCTATATATGAATTTTATTCACCAAGGTTGCATATGAAGAGTTCAGATGCAAAAGCCTCTAAATGCCATTTGAAATTTTCTTCTAAAATTACCGTTTTTATCAAGCTTGTATATTTAAGTTCAGTAATTTCACTTAAATGACAATTAATACGTAATCTTCATTGCCATTTAAGTGAAATTACTGAACTTAAATATACAAGCTTGATAAAAATGACCATTTTAGAAGAAAATTTCAAATGGCACTTAGAGGCTTTTGCATCTGAACTCTTCATATATTTGATAAAAAATGCAGTAGAAACAATAATACTGTGAAATATTATAGCTAAGGGTGCTCCGATTATTAGATTATGATATAATTGTTTACTGAGTCTCTTTGTGAATTCTTTTCCTCAAGAGGCTGCGCGAGCCTCAACAGCGCAACCTCCTTACCGTCAGTAATACATTTATCCACTATCGATCGCATCTTTCAATAAATGTAATAAAATCAGAATCATTCTCTCGTTTTAGTGATTTCCAAGTTATTTTTTGTTAATGGCGTTTTAATCAGGCTACTTGTCCGGTCGGGCAAGTACAATTCTTTTTCAATTGTCCCTTCAAAAAATCCACTTGTCCCGGACAAGCGTTAATGTCGAGCCCTGTATGGGATACCTTTGAAAGCATCGGTCGCTCCAGGAGCGCAGTTCTTATCCGGGTGGAAGCGTAGTGCCAGCTTCCTATAGGCTTTCTTTAAGTCCTCATCACTGGCATCCTTTGGCACCCCCAGAATTTCATAGAAGTCTCTGCATCGCTTTATCCTGCACAGGTTTATAAAGGAAGTATATAAATAAATAATGACTGACATTTGAAAACTTTTGGGGTGACAATTCCTCTGTCAGTACCTGAGCACTCCTTGCCGCTGCTCCTCAGTGTAGCTCTTCTTGTCGTCACTGGACCCCTCGGCTCTCTCTTGGGCTCTGACCCGCTGATGTGGAGCCGGGCCGTCTTCATCAGAGCTCCTCCAGCCAGGTGGAGGCGTGAAGGTGCGCTCCTCTTCAGGGGGAGTCCCACCATTCTTCACAATGGCATCAATCAGTACTAATGAGGGAAATTAGGAATCATTTCACATATTGTTGCATTAAATGTAGTGACTTAAAACAACCCCCCCAATATTTTAGTATTACTATTAGTACTCCACAATTAGGACTTTTTCTGCTTTTCCATTAAAGTCAGCAAGGAACAAAAGCTGTGATAGTCTTTTCTTTCCTATTGTGATGCACATCCGGGTGAAACAACTTCTCAAACAAGAATTTTTCAAAAAAAAAATGATTTTGTCCGAGATGGTTGTATACTTAAAACCGCCAGCAGGTCAAATTTAGTCATCAACTATAGCTGTGTCCCAAATAACGCACTATACACTTATACACTATGTACTTACACACTATGTACTCACTTTTCATATCTCTGAATATAGGCTAAACCAGCCTGCAATGACAACGAGAATTAGAAAGAAATAAATACATATTTGGAGGGTGTAATATTATAAATAAATCATTAATCATTAACAAAACCCATGTTATTTAAATTACTAAAATACCCTAAATAGACAATAATAAGCAATAACAAATCACCGCACTGCATAGGATGTATGATGCAACGACAAATTCAAGCACACTGTTTCACCTAATTAATTATAATTTTTTTTAGTTATATCATTTGAAACAGAGAACACCAATAAAGTTGTTGTAATCATAACAATTGATTTATTCATTACACCATAGATTGAAACCACAGGAGGGTAAACAATACATATGTAATGAAAAAAAACAACGATTGGATCACAAGGGGTGTGTGTTTAACAAGATCAGCCTCCACAGAGGCATTGAAGCTTTCAAAAGGTCCTATGTCAGATCTTTTTAGGCTGCATAAATTAGGTCAGCCGGAACCGGGAACACTTCCCATAACACCTGATGTACTCGTTACATCATAAGAAGAATTATGGCATCTGCACTAATATTAGTCTCTCTGTTATCCCGAGGTTATGCCAAATCTGGGCCGTATTCAGATCAGATGGAGGCCCAGTCCCTAAACACAACAACAATGCAGCACAATGCAACTAGTCTCTCCCCCGAGAAGGCTTTGGCACGACAGCAAGTGGCACAGACCCTCATTCAAACAAGAAGAATCCAATCTTCAACCAGAAGGAACTGGATTAAATATTTTGAATGTTCTGATCCCAATCTGACTTCACACCTGTAAATGCTATTACAGTTCATTGGCCTGAAAAGGACTGGTCGCCAGACTGAGCCTGGTTTCTCCATTTTGACACCTTATGGGAGCTTGGGTTCCTTTCCATTGTCGCCTCTGGCTTGCTTATTTGGGGACACTTGATATTTAACAATTTTATTGATGTGCCTGCATTGACACCATTGTGTGAGAACTGAACTGAGCTGGACGATGACGTCACTGTTTTCTTCAGAGAAACTGTATAGATAAATGAACTACATTAATAATTTACAGTGGAAATTAATAAACACTGAACTTACTTCATCTGGACAATGGCCTCCATCTAGAGCAGCTGAAACAATATTTGTTGAATTAATTTCCCGTTATCACTGTGAAGCTGCTTTAAAACCGTATTGAATAAAGGTTAACGTTACTTGACTTGATTTCAACCGGAGTGAGAGAGAGAGACCCAAACCCACCGCTGACCTGAAGACAGATTGTATAACACACAACATCCAGACGCTGCACTTTCTATTTCTATTCAGCACACTGACCAAACACACCCGATTTGTCAATCAAACAACAGCAGCATGATACACACCTCTGGCCCGGGTGCTGGGGTAGATCTTCTGCGCCTCGTACAGCAGCTGCAGGGCTTTCTCTTTGCGTCCTGACCGCAAGCACAGCTTGGCTTTCTCTATCAGCCTGTCAGACTCCTCTTTGTCCATCTCAAACATTGTCATTTCAAGCAATGACACCTCAAAGCCGCAATAAATGACTTGCGAATTAGCTAAGTGAAGCAAAATAATCAAAATAAGTCTTGCCTGGGTGTAAAAATTACTCGCGATGTTGTTGACATCAAGCTAAAGCTTTAGCGTTATGCTAGCTAATGCAAACACAGCAATTTAACTTCCAATTCTAGACATCTTCCGCACTTAGATGACACCTCTACGACGCGACTTAATCGAATATGAATTTATTATCAAAACTATTCATGTTTGACCCTTTGGCTTCGTCGTTGTAAAATGTGCGAGAAAGACAGAAATGTAATATTGCTTGCTACCTCCATTGCTAACCGGAAGCGGACGCGCATAGTGAGGGACTACAATCCAAACAGCCAATCAGAAAGCGGCAATCTTTGCCGTAGATGGAATGAAGGGAACAAGCTAAAAAATCCTAAATGGTACCCCCGCTGGCATGTGTGTTTATGGTGTTTATGGATCATCCCGTTATTTGTAGGTATAGTTTGGAGTAATTAGCTGGATAAGCATAAGTTTTGATGGCTCATACACTAAGCACAGTGACCTTTCACGTTTAAATTAGAATTATTTTAAATGAACACCCCAAAAGGTATATAAGTGGGTAGTCACTAGGGTTTGTAAGGCCTCTATAATTAATTTTATTCCGTAAAAAAAAAAAAAAACACAAAAACACAAAAACATAGGCTGGTAGGAGAATGATGCACACAGTTATTTTCACGATGAAAGCGCTGACTGCCGCCATCGTGTGGCTGTGAGAAAAAACAACTTGGCCTTGGAGCGCCGTCTGGTGGTGATAAACTACCCACAAATTCGTTTTTATTTATTTTTTAATCGACAAATCTTATTTTCTAATTATCTGATTGTTCGTATGGATTTATCAAAAACAATCAAGTTAATTCATGAAGGATTATCTACATATATAACGTGAGAAATGTGCAGAGCTGTAGCTTCTGGGACCAATATTGAAAACCACAGTAGATTCATCCGTTCATTATCGCAAAATAAATATCTGAAAGGGTGATCAGGACATTATAGATATAAATGCACTTTTTTAATCTGAAAAAAGAAGAGAAACAAACATTGACATGTTTATATAAGTGCATGGCAGACATAATGATATTTTTATATGGAGTTTAATACATGTAATACACATAATGTGTGATCTGTACACTGACCACCAGTAGAGGCACATTAATTCACATTCAATCAACATTATAAATATCAAAAATAAGTTTGCAGCCTCCAATCTCCATGCACAATGATTGAGTGAAATCAGACTCCATCTTTGATGCCCAGGAGGTCTCTGGTAAGTTCTAGGTCCTCATTGTCCACTATAGTGCTGTGAACTGAAGAGATCTGAGGAGAATCTGGATCTGCACAAGAGGTGAAATCTCACTTAAGACATTTAACCTTTCATATTTTACAATAATGTCAAATGGGGTGCTATTTTCTCTGTTTTAGTCACATAGGGAATGCACTTTCTTACCGTTTTCTGTATTTATTGTCCTCACAGAGACAAGAGTGATGCTCTCCTTCTCACAGTTGTTGATGTTGCTTGATAAAAATCGAGACAGTAGCTTAAATTAATTTTCAACAGATCTGTTATCTTAATACAAATGCTGACCAAGTATTCAAAGGTTGAGCAGGACCTATTAGCCTGTGCCATCTCATGAGTCTCACTTTGTATTTATGTGTGTGGGTTTTTGAGTCCTCACCTGTCCGATACCACAGAGTCACAGCTTTTAACATCTACAAACAAAAACCAAAAACAAAACTGATTTTAAACTTGTAGCCATTTTTGCTTTGAAAAGTAATCTTAAAACTGACAGAATGAGAGAAAAACCCACCCTTGTTCTGCCTGGTATCTCTACACCGCCCCCTGAGGTTGATAGTGGTCACCAAGATCACCATGACAACAATTAAAATGAGTATAAAACTCATCACACCTGCAGAAGGGAGATATTTAGCAGCAGAAATAACGTGCATCATGAGAGTATCAGTATAAAACCTACCAAAGGCGAGCATAGTGAGACTGCTGTCTGGTGCCTGTGAAGGTGTTGCCGTCACCTCTGGCATGCTGATGTTTGAATGAACTGTTGTTGAAGTCTTAGGAAGTGCAGAAACACCCACTGCAGATAGAGCAAACACGTGAAAATAGTCTAAAATGGAAAATGTTTGACTTTACTGTACAACATGAACATTCTTTAAAGTACAGATCAAGAAGGAGGAGGTAAAACCTGTTGTTTTGGCCGCTGGGGATGAGATGGGTTTTAGAGTTGTGTCTATGTAGGATTTTGATGTTGTAAATGTAAAGCTGGTGATCATGGACTGTCCTGTAATGAATACACACTTCTTATACATTTCATAACATTTATTGTGATATCCTCACAGTTCAAAGAAGGAACTTTACTAGATAAGCAAGATTACAAACACCACGAAAAGTCAAAATCTTCAATGTTCTGAATATTCTAATTAAAAGCGGTTAATAATTTCTACCTGATGTGCTATTTGAAGAAGAGAGGCTGGTTTCATCAGTGCTGCCTGGTGAAATAGAGGTACAGGGTTTAATGTGTGGGCTGAATGAGCTGATGTGCAGTGCTGTAGTCGAGACCACCTCACTCGAGTCCGAGTTGACACCGAGACCAGAGAGAGTCGAGTCCGAGTCAAGACCGAGTCCATAGAGAGTCGAGTCCGAGTCGAGTCCGAAACCAGAGACGGTCGAGTCCGAGTCGAGACCGAGACCAGTGAGGGTTGATTACCTAATTTACTTTTATTTATTTAGAGAAATTCTTTTTTTTTTTTTTACTGAATTTACTTAGAGTTTAAAAAATATGATCAGTTTAGGGTAAAAAGGCCATATAGTAGGTGGTGTTAAAAGTAATTTTATTAAAATTTGTCATGCACAGTTGCGCACTAGAAAATCACCAATCACTGGGCGTTCCAATCAATTTAAAGAAATATTTTATTATTGTTATCATGAAAAATTATTATCATGAAAAAATATTTTTAATTGAACTCGAGTGGACTCGGGAATAATTCCGAGTCCTAAAAAAAATGTTCGAGTACGAGTCAATTCCTAGTCCAAATGGACACGAGTCCATGACAAGACCAAGACCATTAAAATATGGTCTCGAGACCGAGTCCGAGACGAGTCCGAGTCTCGAGTACTACAACACTGCTGATGTGCAAACTATATTTGCATTAACTGAAGTTACAGTATATGTGCCTTACCTGGAGATAAAGGAGCTGTGGTTGTGCTCACAGTTTTCGAGGTGTGGCTGGTTATGACATCGTCATGTTGAGATGAAAAAGTAAAAGACACTGTTGAAGTCCACTGTTGGACTGCTGAAATAATATTAAGACACATTTAAGTCAAGATAGGGATAAATATAATTTATTTTATATTTTAATACTTTTACTTTGACAAATATACAGTAGACAACATTTGAAGTGGATCAAAAAAGTTAAAGAACGGGTATCAAATTTCAACTTTGATGAAAGGTTTTGATCCACTTCAAATGTTGACTACTGTGTGTGTATAAATATAAGTTATTTGATTTGTACATTTTATAAATTACATGCTAAAGCAATATTCGATTGCCCTAGAAAAAAAATATCCTAATGGAGACAAGAAATGATAAACTAAATCTAAATAAAATACATTCATTTAGCTGACACTTTTATCCAAAGCGACTTACAATTGCTATATATGTCAGAGGTCACACGCCTTTGGAGCAACTAGGGGTTAAGACAAGTGTCTTGCTCAGCGACACATTGGTGTCTCACAGTGGATTTGAACCCTGGTCTCTCACACCAAAGGCATGTGTCTTATCCACTGCGCCATCACCAGCAAAATAATGACATCTTGTGTTTAATGTGTAATTGGTTCATATAAAGTATATACCCATCACAGGTACATTTAGAAAGCATGTTATTGGACGTTTATCTATTGCTATTGTCTAAACAATATAACTGAAAATGCTGTTACCGAGATTCATAGACAATATTACTCACGTGTTCTTGAATCCTCAGACCATGAAGTTGAAGCAGTTGTGTTTGGAGTTTCTAGGTTTGTGCCATTTCCTGTGCAGGTCGCATGAAAAACATGCATTTCAAAAAACAGAAACTATATATATACTATATAATGATCATGAAAAGTACTTGAGCACTAAAGGTGGACTTTGCTGAAGTGCTTAAATGCTTTTGTGAATCACTGTACATTGTCATTGACTCTTTGAATTTAAGATAAACATTATAATCAAAGTTTGGCCACTAGCAAGAAATAAGCCAAATACTTTAGTTTACTTAGTAAGTAAATATATATATATATATATATATACATTTATATATATAGTGGTAATTTCGAGATGGTCCTCACTGCAACCTATCTCTACACCTACCTATCTCCACCCCCTGATCCCTAACCCCAACCCTAATCCTATCCATCTCCACCCCCTGATCCCTAACCCCACCCCTAATCCTACCCATCTCCACCCCTTAGATCTGGATCCAACTCCGCCCCCTGGATCTCGTGTACTGCAATGAGGTGCTACTAGTAATTTCACCAAGTGCAATGTTCCTTGATCAACATTCAACCAATCAGATTTGAGGGTCAAGTATACAGTTTGTCAAGTTTAGACTTACAACCATCAGTGTTATTCTCCTATAATTTCCCTCTGATTTTAGGGATAACTTAAGGGTTGCATAAGGTTTAAGGGTGGGGATAGTGTAGGGTTAGGACTACATTTTCAGACAAGTTTTGTTCCAAGATCAACAAAACGTTTATACGATGGCAAAGTCACGGTGATCATATAAATAACATAAATAGAATATAAATAAATAGAATATAAAACACACACTGACACTTACCTGCTGAAATGATGGATGAAGATGCAATCATGAGAATGAGAAGAAAGAGAAGCAGCTCCATGGCTCAATCCAGATGGGTTTCACTCTCATCCGACTAGAACCAGCCGTATATATATATATCAGATATCAGGATATAATTACAATAATTAAATGTGTAAAAAAAACAACAAAGCAGAAAAACTGTTCTTGAGCAAGTGATTTTGGCTGAAGTATGAACCAGTATGTCCAAATCTGTTTCCTGTTTTGTATAATATTAACACATGAGGGCGAGTACAGTATTACAAAGCCCCGCTGAGAAGCGTGTGTTGGTGTGTGTCAGTGGGCGCTGAGCTCTGGTTTCAGGGAGAAGTTACTGTGGCCCCTGTGGAAGTTTCCTGTGGAAGAATAGCAGGAAACAGGTGAAAAGCCCTCATGGAAAAAAGCTCTCATTAGTTGAGCATTTGGAAGTTACTGTAGCAGTTCCTATGAAGAACCTTAGGCATACTATGGTCTTTGCATTAACATTAATATTACATCTAAAATTACATTTTCGTTCTTGATTGTCAGTCAAAAAACGAGTTTGCTTTTCTTAAAATGAGAACAATACATAAATACATTTTTTTTTCCAAACCAGCATTAAAAGGGGAAAGACATGATTAGTTCATGCATATTTTATTCAAGAGTAAAAAAGTGATTTGTCCCATAGGGCATGCTTACAATATGTGTTTTCATTTAGGAAGTCAAATGCGAAAACTTAGTTCCAGAGAAAATTACAAGAAAAATAGTCACAAATCCATAAAATTCCTTCTTTGAAATAAACCACGTCTGGACCAAACAAGGATCAGAAAACAGTGGAAATGAAAGAACTGTAAGCTTAATTGTAAGAATAATAAGAAGATCATCAAGAGTCATAATGATAATATAGTTTTCCTCTTCAATGTGAGACACTGAATTTTCCTCGTGTCCAATTAGTTTACATTTGAATAAACCATGCGATCATGCTTTGGCAGCCTGAATGTTGCTTTTCACTGAGTAATATGTTCATTCACACTACTGAACAACTTCTGTACACCAACTGAACAGAGAGAACGAAACCAAAAGAAAAAAAGAACGAAAGATGACGAAAAAAAAAAACACCTCGGAAAGAGTAGCGTCAGTGCCTGTACAGAGAGACTATACAAAAATAAAATCAACAATAATAAAATGATATCGATGAAAAAAAAAAAGGAAAAATAAATAAAAGATTACAAAATCATATCTATTTATAGAGATATAAAAACAAACTAGACCTTTACAAATATAATCTGAAGGGAAATAATTCAAGTCTACTATATTGAAACACATCACAATTATAATTTCACATATCAATAAGGAACTTAGTTGCATGCACTGATGCGTTCAGTACCATAGATGCTGTTAAAAATCATTGTCCTCGACCATCGTTAATAATCGTATATTTAAATATATTTATATATAGATTTATAAATAATATTTATTTGACTTGCGAAATGTACTATGTGCATTCTCTCTCTCTCTTTCTATCGAGATACAGGCAAGTGAGAAACAATCAGGAAGGTGGCGCCAAAGGTCGAGCTGGATTTCCCGCTGCGGTTTTCCTCCATCCAGAAACGAGTGTCTACGGTGGACAAGCAGAACCGCTCTGCTCTTTTACTGCTTCATGGCATCTTACCAAAAACCAAATCAAGAAATAAAACCCCCTAGGTAAGATTGCATCGCAAGTAATAAAATGTACATACAGGTTTCGTCGTTGAATGTCCATTCTTACAAACATTTTTTTCATTTTTTTGTCATTTCAAATTCGTATATTTATTAATACTAGTAGCAAAACATCATCAACAGTGAGATCATTTCATTATGAGATGGGACCATGACGAAAAGAGGAAAAAAGTGTGCATGGAACCAGTACAGGCTCATCACCCGCACCGACGGAACTGGATGGATCAGGCTTAAGAGAGTTCCTAAACCCCGCCCACTTGGTCAGTGGGTGGAGTCGGAAAGGAACTGAGACCGCCCCCTCTCTGATAAAGACACTTTCAGCCCTTGACAGGCATGTCACCCCTCCCCCCTCCCCCCCAACGCTCCCAAAAAAAGGCAGAAACTTGCCGTCGGCAAGGTATCCGCTTCGAAAATTGCGAGCGGCAAACTGACAGCAAGAAAACAGTCTCCCCCTTTTCAGTGACACATTTAAGATCGTTTGGTTCTCTAATTGGACATTGGAGCAGGGAGGGATGTGTAGGTGATGTCATTGGGTGTTTGTTGGAAGCAGGAGGCCTTAAATCACAAGTTTGGCATTGTCCTGCCATGCGTCGTGCCGGTGGCATGGACTCGGGTGCAGGTGAGTGGGCAGCCATTTCATCACTGGATGTTGCTGTTGTCGTCCGTGCCGTTGGTCTCCGACACGTTCATCTTGCCCATGGATTGGCCCACGTGGTTGACCCCATCCTTGCGGGGTGGCATGCGCTCATTGATGCGGTCCAGACCTTTAGCCTCTGCGAAACTGCTGATTTTGTGCTGTGGAGAGAAGCCGCGGATGGCTGCGGAGAGACGGGAAAAGCCCACAATGAACACCAAGACTTTTGCTTCTCATCAGCCACTACATCATTTCTCTTTGTTTGACTAGTTTGTCTGACCTGTTATATATACGTATACACACACCACCATTCAAAAGTTTGGGGTCAGTAAAAAAAAAAAAAAAAAAAAAAAAAAAAAGTTTGGGGTCAGTATTATTATTATTTTTTTTTAAATATTAAGCTGTACAACTGAAATCCGAAAATTAAAATGATTTCTGAAGAAATGATGCTGTCAATTTAGCTTTGCCATCACATGAATACATTACATTTTCAAATTTACAAATTTCAATCATATTTCACAATATTACTGTTTTCACTGTATTTTTATAAGAGACTCATTCAAAAACTTACCAATCCCAAGCTTTTGAAAAGTAGTGTATATCTTGTACATTCAAAATATATTCTATGGAGGAATAATAGAAAATAAAAAAAAGAAAGGAATCGATTGTCAGTTCATTAATGAATAAAAAGAAATTGGTAAATGACTTATTAAATTGAGAACTAAATAGACATATTTCAAGCTGTCTAATTCATTAAAAACAATTTAGAGTAATAAAATAATGCATTACAGTGCACCTAGTATATGCTATTTTAAAGATTCCTAATTTTGTTAGGAAAAAAAAATGCTTTAATTTTCTTATAATATACATTGGACATCACCCTATTTCAAACGACTCTCTCTAAATCCCTTCTTTCTGCAAACTCCATCGCAAAGATGACTTGAGCAGGACGTTTCTCAGTGATACGCTACTCAGTTTTATGTACGTTATGAGATGTTGCAACTGTGATTCTTCACCATCAGCATTAAGAAGTGTATGTTCATCACCAAACTTGTTAAAGTTAAATGCACTTATATTTAGCATATTTTTATTACACACATACTAAAAAATATTTGAAAAGTTTAAATATATAATATCTAAAAGATCTATTTTCACTTATATTTAATTATATATATATGAATTAATTTGTAAATGCTTTCAAATTCATGCGTCAGTTTCCTAGAATGCAACAGTGCCCATTAAATAGATTTTAAGAGCCATTGGTTCCGGGAATATTTTTTTAAATTTATTTTTCCAATGGGGATTTTTCAAAAGTATTCGTTAAAGTGTTATAAGTCACGAACCAAACCAACCAGCTATGAGGTAAATCACAACACCGCACACTTTGCTTTTAAGCAAAAAAGTATTTGAAAATTGGACAAAAAAACCCCCAAAAGGTACTTAACGGCTTTAATGAGGAAAAAACTACAATCCCATGAAGCATTGCAAACAACATGTTGAATTAAAAAATTATGGAGAAATACAAGTATAAAGTTGATTATATTCATAAAAACAATATTTATTGCAAGTTATATATATATATATATATATATATATATATATATATATACGTGTGTGTGCGCACAAATTTAAGTATTTTGAGAGCGTAGAGAAAGTTTTGATTATGTCATTCGCAGTGCTTCATGTGAGAGGGCAGTTCCTGCAAGTTCTATTGAGGCTATTCAGCTGTTAAACTTGATTATTTAAAAAAAAAAAAAATAATCAAGTAATAATGCAGGCTGCCGATTTCAAGAGAAGCATTTACCATAGATTAACCACCTCGTATTTGTCAACCGATTAACCGTAGAAATAGAAAGCAGTATCCAAACCCCTTGTGTCCATCCATTTGTGTACCACTGAGGTGAGCTGGTCTCAGAAAGTGAGAGGTTGCAGAAGAGGAACACACTCTGGTTGGCTGAGAGTTCCTGATTGCGGTTAATCACATGCTACGCCCGCACTTGAACCATGAGGGCAAGAGGAAATGCAGCGCCCGACATACCATATCAGAAAATCATGCCTCCAGTTTAGATGCTACTTCAAACCATCATGCAAGATATAAAAGGAATGTTCACCACTCAAAAAGGGCACGGCAAATATCTGGTTAAATTGCTGTTGCTGTTAATAAAAATTCAATACAAATAGCATCTTGTGATGCCTTACTTGCATAATGGCTGTGTCTAAAACCTACAAAATTTCTTGTGAATGTCTAGATGCATATTAACTAAGAAACACATATTGTAGTCAGTGCAGCGCTCAAAAATAAGGATGGCTGACCTGGGGTCAGTGGCTTGTGTTAGGCTTGGTCGCATAGTAAGTTAGAAAGTAAGTATCAGTAATGTTATACCATGGATGCCAATTTAAGTTAATTGCGGTCTTGAAAAACTCTTTTTGAAGATAAGAGTGAAGAGCTGAAGAGCTTTTATTGCCATTTTTTTTCTTAAAGAAAACCTCAATTTTGAAGAAAAAAAATTGTATCCGTAAAAAAGTACAAAACATAATTTTTTTAAATAAAAAATAAATAATAATAAATGTTAACATTATACAGGTAAAATTACAAATATAACATTATACAGTACATGTAAGTATACAATACCATTCAAAAGGTTGGAGTAACCTTTATTTATTTGATCATTATTTATTTGAAACATTTATTTGATCAAAAATACAGTTAAAAAATATTATAAAAATAAAATAAAATTTAAAAAATTATAAAATGTTAAACAATTGAATGCATCCTTGTTAAATAAAAGTGTTTATTTTAAATCTTAGTGACCCCCTTTTTAATGGTAGTGTATAATTTTATTTTATTTTATTTTTTGTGTGAAAATGGTGCTTATGGTGGTTTGGAAGTCTGCGTGAAATGACTTTCTTAGATGCTGTCTGTTCTGTTTAGTCATTGACTGAGTGGGCAATAAGACAGCTGC